AATAACCAATCAATATCTCCTGTGCTAGACCCTTCAGGGACCACCCCCAGGAACAGTGACATAACTCTCCTGATTCCGAGTTCTGTGCCTTTTTGACGCACAGCCCTTTCTTAGTCTCTGATGGCCTCATTGGCAGATCATCTTATTAATAACCATAAGAATATTTGATATTTAAGAATATTTAATAATCATGATGACCTTGATATTTTGGTAGTATTTGATGGTAATGGATATAGAAGGCTAAGGTTTTAGGAGCCAAAGTTACCTCAGTAGCTATAAAGGTTGAAACACTGTACCACAGTGTCATGGGGTAACTTCACATGTTTCTACCTGACTTACACACAGATTTCTCAGAAATACGTCTTGCTGTATTTGACCATATCCTTGGCCTTCTCACTGTCTTCTCTTGACTCTGTTTCCTTTAAGATTCACACTCCTTCGCATGTCGCTGAAGTCCTTTGATGTCTGCTTCTCTTGCTCTGTTTCCTGCTTCCTCTCAGTCTCATTTGTCTTCTCCTCCAACCACACCAAACTTTTGGCCTTTGTCAAGTACACATATTCTTATCTCTCTACCTATGGCCACAGCTCCTTTTGTGTAAAATGCTCTTTCCTTCCTCTTCACACCCTGACTCACTCAATTCCAACTATTCTGGAAGACTTCCTGACTCCTTCAGGGAAAGGCAGAGGCTCTCTCCGGTTTGTTTCCAGAGCACTGAGGCCTCATTCAACAGTCAATCCACAGACATTTGTCTAGGGCCCTAGTGTAAATTCTGCACTCTGCTTCCAAGCTCCTTTTCATATTTGTCTATTACAACAAGTGACACACTGGGTATTGTGTGTTAACCTGTCTTCAAGGTGCAACCTGGTGATAGGCAGCAGCCATGTGGAATGTTTCATTAAGACAATGGCACTATTTCCTCTCTTCTCCAGGTGCTCCCAGCTAGAGTTACCCCTACCCTCTGTCTCTAAGTACAGCCCAGGACATGGAGTGCATGCTACCTCAGATCCAGCCTCACAGAGCCCTGGGGAAGGCCATATGCCCCCATCAGTCTTTCCCACATCTTTCGTGTGTTAGTGCAAACCATATGATTGGGTTTCTATCTCAGTTTCTCTGTCAAGCACGCTATTACCCTGCTGCCACTGGACTCTAACTTGCTGGATAGATCTTTCCAATCTACTTGCTCATGCCATACTCTCACTGCAACGGGAGAGGAGAATTGAGCTTTTGACTTCTTCCAGGTAGATCTAGGGGTGGCTAGGGTTCCACTTGCCATATGTTGGGGATCAGGGGCCTACCGGGTAATATTGTAACTGCCACCTCCAAGGGCTCTTTTGACTGTGCACTCAAAGAAGCATCACGCTTGAGCGTGCTCATCCCTCCTTCTCCACCCTGAACTGGGCGTTTCTCCTGGAGTAGCATGCCTCTTTGGACCATAGACTCTTAGATATTTCTTCCGCCTAGGAAGGTTGACTGCCCCTTGGCTTCGTCCTGCCCAAGAAGCTGCCATGCCCACAGCAACTTCACTAAACAAGTACAAATAAAAAGGTTCAAGCTGAAGTTTTTTTGTGTTTTGAATGTTTTGTTTTGTTTTGTTTTGTTTGACACAGGGTCTCACTGTGTTGCTCTGGGCAGAGTGCAGTAGCTTCATAGGCACAACTGGAGATCATCACAGCCTCAAACTCCCAGACTCAAGTGATTCTCCCACCTCAGCCTCCTGAGTAGCTGGGACTACAGGCACATGGCACCATGCCCAGCTCAGATTGAAGATTTGTCATGTCCCAGGGAGAAACCAAGATGACAGGAAAAGAGGGTAATTAAAATAGCCCCAGAGAAAGACTTCCATGGAGTTTAATCTGAAGGAAAGGGGAAGGAAGCTGTAACTGGTATGAAAAGTTTAAGAAAGCAAAAATGTCAAAGTCTTTATGTTTAAATCTGAAAAAGGACTATCCACACTAGTAAAGTGTTTTATGAAAAATCATTATAGTATCTAATATTTATTGAGCATTTAGGATGTGCCAGGAATTCTATTTTAGATAATTTTCGTATTTAATCCTTATAGCAGCTTTATGAAACAGGTTCTGTTTGTAACCTATTTTTTTAGAAGAAGAAATGGCTTATACAAATGAAGATGTGACCAGGCACGGTGGCTCATGCCTGTAATCCTAGCACTTTGGGAGGCTGAGGCTAGCGGATCACTTGAGCCCAGGAGTTAGAGACCAGCCCAGGTAACATGACATAACCCTGTCTCTACTTAAAAAATATGAAAAATGAGATGAGGGGATCACCTGAGCCCAGGGTAATGGCACTACTGCACTCTAGTCTGGACAGCACAGTGACCCTATTTCAAAATCAATAAATAAATAAATCAGAAAATACCTTAAGGTTAAAACCAAAAAGAAAAGGAAAATTAAGATGTTGCCTTGCAACTGGTCCTCAAAAAGAATAAATTCCAACTATCCCAACTGACTTAAGAAAGAATTTTCTAAGGTCATATTGAGTGAGAAAAGCCAGACTCAGATAAGGGCATAAAATATGATCCCACATTAGTTTACCAACTTAATAAACCCCTTATCTGTATGTATGTGTATATGTTTAAGTATATACTATACAGAGTAATATGTATACTAGGATTGTATTCAGAAAAAATTGAACCTTATGTATGTGTCTTTTATTTGATTATGCATAAATGAGAGAAAATGATGGAAGGATTCTCTTTGATCTGTTGACTTCAATATCTGGGAGATGAGAGAGAAAATAGGGTAGGAAAAGAGAGCTTTGGGGTTATACATGTTTGAGTCTTTGGTCTTCTTATGACAAGCATATATTGCTTTCGTAATTTAAACCACCCAGTGAAATGATTGATTTGTAATAAACATTTTTCCCAAAGTTATGTGATTTGCACCCTGAACAGTAAAGAAGAAAGGTGTATGCTCTAGTGATCCCCCTTCACCCAGGACTGCCCCAGATGGTTTGGAAATTCATAAAGCACCTTCACAGTCCATTCACATCTGACATATTCTCAGTTTCACTGGCACATAAGGCCATTTATATTTTTAATTCTAACTTTCCAGAGCTTATGTCTAAAGCCACACTACAGACACTAAGAGAGAAGCCTAAATTGTGGCCCAGAGCTTTGGACTACAAATCTAGTGGTCTTGTGCTAAAAGTATAAAATTGTGTCCTGTAGAAACACCTTTTAAAATATTCATTTTAAAAATGCTAGTTGGATACAGTGGATCACACCTGTAATCTCAGCATTTTGGGAAGCAAAGGTAGGTGGATCACCTCAGGTCAGGAATTCAAGACCAGCCTGGCCAACATGATGAAAGCCCATCTCTACTAAAAATTAGCTGTGTATGGTGGTAGGTGCCTGTAATCCCAGCAACTTGGGAGGCTGAGTCAGGAGAATCATTTGAACCCAGGAGGCAGAGGTTGCAGTGAGCCAAGATCACACCACTGCACTCCAGCCTGGGCAATAGAGTGAGACTCCATCTCAAAAAATAAATAAATAAATAATAAAATAAAATGGTCCATGAATCAATCTGGTTGGCCCATTGAAAGGTTTTAGTTATATAAAATATTAGACGTATCATTAGCAAAATTAACTCTTAATTTCCTCTTTGGCTATCGCTAAGGCAAGATGTCATTAGTTACATGGGTAGTGGACCCTTAATCACAGCCGCACATGTACTCATTCAACAAACACTTGTTGAGCATGTAACATGTGCCCGGCACGCAGGTGCTGGGTCAGCCTTATAAACTAAACAAACTTCCGTCAGGCATTTGGCCAAGAGCTGTTAATACATGCCTCCAACATCGGTCCTTTTAAAATTAAAAGGACATTGGACTATTTAATTAAACATGAATGTTTAGTAAACACAAAAGACTTTTTAATTTCAGAATCACGAATCAGAAAATGCTGAAAAGAAAGAAACATGAGTTACAGAAATACAGACTAGAAATGAGGGATGGTGACTAGAACCAGCATTTTGGAGTCCTCCTATGTATGAGATACTTTACAGGTATTACTGTGATAACTGTGTCCCATAACCCTACATGGAGGAGATTATTAGTATTCAGTTAACGGTGAGGGTACTATACCTTAGTGGGAAATAAAAGAATTTTCCCAAGGTCAAGGGTGAAGTTTTAGAACGAAGAGTTGACTGAGTATAGACTCATCTAACTGTGGAAATCATGGCTTTATTTTACTATTTTTCCCTGTTTGCAAAGGAGACTATTTCTCTAAATGGCACACCAAGTGTCTATGGCCAAGGTGAAATGGTGGTTGAGCGTGTCTGTCATCTGGGCCGCGCGTACCAGCTGAAGAAAAAGCAAGGAGGACACTTGTCCAGTGATCCACGGTGCTTGCTGCAGGTCATTCCCACCTCACCAGCTAAGTGACCTCCTTGCTTCTTCTTCGCCTGTCTTCCTACAGCCTCCTGCATTGCAACAACTACAGGAGCCTTCTTCCCATCCAAGTCATATCAGTTCCCTCCTCTGCTCAAAATTCTCGAGTGGCTTTCAATTTTGCTCAGAATACATACAAAGACTTTATAACGTCCTACAGGTTCACATATCCTGCTCCCACCTTATTGACTGCAGGTCCTACTGCTATTTCTCTCACTCCTTGACTCTGACCCTTCCATTGCCTGAACTTGGGTGTCCTAATTGGCATACTTTAAAATTTTTTAACTTTGTAATATATAATTATACATTCATATGCAATTACACCAGGCCTGTTCCAGCCCCGAGGCTTTGTGCTGGCTATTCCATCTGGCTGGAAGCTTTCCCCCAGGTATCCAAGTGGCTCACCTCCTTACCAACTTCAAGTCTTTGCTCCAATGTCATCTTCTCAGCAGGGTCCCCCCTGACCACAACATTTAACATCACTTACCCCCACTTAGCACTGGGTGTCCCTGGCTGCCATAATTTTTCTCCAGGATCACCTGTCACCTTTGATCTATTCACTGATGTATTTCCATCACTTAGAGAAGTATCTGGCACATAGCACATAGTCAATAAACACTTGCTGAACTGATGAATAAACCCTCTCCTCAACCCCATAAGAATGACAATTATTATTCCCATTTTACAGCTTCAGGAGATCAGATCCAACTTCTATGTGCAAAGCCAACAACCGGAGAGTGACAGAGCTAGGACTCAAAACCACAGTGTTTCCGCATGGAGGAAGAGAAGAAAGGGGAGAATGGAGGGGAAACATCTTTTATACCGGACTCCTTGTTCCACAACCCCCACCAGCAACCCCAACCAGTGTGGCATTTGTCTTCTGCAGTAACATCAGGTAAGTGGGTGGAGATTTCCTCTGTCATTGCTTTTGGTCTCTAGGAGTCTAAACTGGGAACCAGGCTGCAATCTGTTTTTATGAAAAGAAATAAATAGGCAGTGTTAATGATACATGAGAATAATATAGGGGTAAGCCCAGAAAACAGTGTCTGGAGTCTTTCGTGTGAAATGTTCTTTGTATGTACTTAATGCCAAATACAAAACCTAACAGGTGTCATGAGGGAGAATCAGCTCTACCAGAAAGTTCCTGATTGCCCAACACGAAGTGGCCATGGTTGGGACAGTCATACTTCACCGTCACCCTCTGACATCAAACACGGCCTGGACAGTGAGTTCTGAGCACTGACCACTCTAAGGTAAAAATCAGCACAGCATACTTTTTCCAGAGGTCATGTGTGTGCTTTTCTGTTTATTAATTTATTTTTAAGCATGATTTTATGTCTTCTCTTTTCTAGGCCCTTCTCTTCACTAGGTCCTGAGAACACAGTATCAAAGCAGATTACTGCCTTCAGTAAATTGATGTTATACTAGGGAGACAGACACGTAAGTAATCACAACGAAGACCAGGTAAACTTGTCTTGAGAAAGAGAGGGGAGCAAATAGCTGATGGATCCCAGCTGTAGAAGGCTTCTAAAGAAGATGATATTTAATCTAGCAAGGTTTCCTTAGGAGGACATTGGTTGGAAGGTCTTAAGAACTGCTACGTTCATCCCTGAAGCTGAAACCTTTAAAAAGGATATAGGGAGGCTCCTGTGTTGCAGATGCCTGAAACGGATCCTTGAGAAACAAGTGGTCTGCAGGTACCTGTTGTAAACCAGGGGCTAATGAATAACTAGAGCCAAAGTGTCCACTCTGCCCTATCCTAAGCTCAAAGGATCTCTAACAACATCCATACCTCCTGGGCCACGGGTCAAGCCCTTGACAGTCACTTTTCACTTATCACCTAACTTCATTGTTACAACCACTGTTTCACAAGTGAAGGAACTGAGGCTCATAGAAATGAAGGCTTTATGAAAAAGCCTCAAAGCTAAAGAGAAGAGTCCAGGATTTAGTTTTCAAGTCCAGTGCTCTTGGCTCAATACAGAGTCCTTCCTCCTCCCACTTAATGCTGACATTGCTCATAGACCTGCTGTTATTCTGAGTTCTGAAATAAATGTACCGGAGAACTTGGAGCAACACTTGCTGCTATGGGACAAAAAGAAGACAGAATTTTGTGCCTGGAGTGACTCAGGTTCAACTTCCAGCTCTCTTTAACTCCTACTTGTAACCTCAGAAAAGTTGTTTTACTTCCCTAAAACCTCAGATTTTCCTTCTGGAAAACTGACATCTCTGTATTATGAAGCTCCAATGGAATAGTCTATGATGTTTCTACACTTAGTGGGCAGTCAATGCAAGTGAGCAGTGCCTTTCTCCTGGAGAACTTTATGCTAAGTGCTCCTGTCATGGTCCATTTTGGGAGATAAGTGAAGATAGAAAATGACCATAGGCCAAGCAGTTGTCATCACATCATTCTTGAGTTGGCTTTTGTTGTTATTGCTGTTTTGGTAATAAATAGGGAAATCAAGCACTATTTTGGAGCCATTATTCTTGAAAACAAACTACACAAACTTATTAGGACATTCCTCATAATTTTCTTAGATATCTTGCCAATGGTCATGATAAACATAAAAGGGATTGTAGACTACTGTCCAAACCTGCCTGCAAATTAAGCTGATTTCTCTATTTCTTAACAGTTTGTCAGTCATCAATTGCAAGCCATCCACTGCCATAGGTGTTTGGTTGTGAGTAATTACTAAGGGAATGTGATGATTTCCGGCTTGGGAAGTATAGTGTGAGTCCTACTGTAATTACTGTGGAATCCATGAGGTATAATTACCCAGCTGGAGGTACAAGTGGCTTCTGCTGGCACTGCCAGATCATTCTGTATTTGCTATGAAGCAGCAGTAGTCAAGCCTTTTTGTTTGTTCATGCAACAAATACTTGATAGAATACTTGAGTATCCTGTTTTCCTTAATTCAACTTTTTTTTCAGATAATTGTAGATTCATATGCAATTGTGAGAAATAATATAGATATATCCAATGTACCTTTTCAGGAGTCCCCCCAGTGGTCATGTCTTGCAAAACTATAGTACTGTATCACAACTAGGATATTGACATTAATACGGTCAAGATACAGAACATTTCCAACACAAGCATCCTTCATGATGCCCTTTTTCCTTCTTGCCCCCACCCCCTCCTATGCTCTGCCAACTACCAATCTTCTCTCCCTTTCCATAACTTTGTCATTTCAAGAATGTTAAACAAATAAAATCAAACAACATGTAACCTTTAGGGGTTGTCTTTTCCACTCAGTGTGATTCTCTGGAGATTCATCTACATTGCTGGATGTATCCGTATTTCCTTCATTTTTGTAGTTATAGTCCTATAGTTCCCTGGGCTTTCAGTGATTTTTTTTTTTTTTTGAGGCAGAGTCTTGCTCTGTTGCCCAGTCTGGAGTGCAGTGGCATGATCTTGGTTCACTGCAACCTCTGCTTCCCAGCTTCAAGTGATTCTCCTGCCTCAGCCTCCCTAGTAGCTGGGATTATAGGCATGCACCACCATGTCGAGCTAATTTTTGTATTTTTAATAGAGATGGGGTTTCACCATGTTGACCAGAATGGTCTTGAATGCCTAACCTCAGGTGATCCGCCTGCCTTGGCCAAAGCGTCATGATAACAGGTGTGAGTCACCACACAGGGCCAGTGATTTCTTTTTTCAGGCTCCTTTCTCTCTGTTGTTTAGAACAAAGATAATTTTACTTTTTCATTTACAATTGGAGTGTCCTTTCTTTCTTTTCTTCTTCTTGCCTTATTGCTCTGGCTAGGACTTCTAATATAAGCTGTTGAGAAATAATAGAATATTCTTATGAGGTGAAAACTCATAGAGGCTGGTGAAGCCCTGGGGAAGGGTCCCACATTTGCCAAGCCTGATGAATATGACTATCATCTTGCTGCTTTGCGGTATGTGAGTGACAGAAGCCTACAGTTCTGAGAAGTCTAATAGGAATCCATAAAGCTGGACCCTCTGAGTTTATACCCTCATTGTAAAGATAAGCTGGAAGTCAACTTAACCTCCCTTGTCTCAGAAAGAACTGCATGGAAAACTGTAGGTCTCACACACTGGTACAGAGTGAAGTGGTGGGGAATCTTCCATAAGAATTTATAATCTTAACAAATTTGGGAAGTTAGGGAGAAAGACAAGAATCAACAAATCGCTGTTTGGCCTAAATTTATACTTACTTGATGGTCTCAATAACCACAAGTAAGAATTTATTTTTAAGCACCTATTTTAAAATTTATTTTAAAGACTAGTAGTGCCATCAGACACCTAACAAAAGCAAATACAAATCCTTTCTTCGAGAACTCATATTCGTTCCAAATCTTAAAGAATGTACACAAAGTTCCAAAGTAAATTATAAAATCACAGTAAAAATTCACTAAATGTTTAAGCAATTCCAGGCACCATGAATCAGAGTCTTCAGTAACAGCAGACAGCAGAATCAGACCTCAAGTACTAGAAATAGTAGACAGAATATATGTTTATTATGAGCAAATTAAATGTTTATTTAATTATTTAAATTAAAAACAGGCTCAAAAATGTGTACATTTGAAATTGAGACAATTTTTTAAAGAACCAAGCAGAACTTCTAGAAGTAAAAAATTTAATAATATAATAAATGACTGTAACATATATTACACATATTATGTATTTAATTACATGTAACATATAATTTAATTTTGTACTATATATTTTTGTAGAAAAAAGGAGACTATTAAAAGCATAATAAAATAAGAGACTACCAAATTTTGCTAGATAATTATAAAAGAACCAAATAGAACTTATAGAAATAAAAAATACAGTCATTAAAATTAGATATTCAATGTATGGGCTAAATATTAGATTTAACAAAACAGAAGAGAGAATTAGTGAACTGGAGAATGGACCTAGGAAATCACTCAGAATGCATCCCACAAAGACAAAAAGTAAAAAATCATAAAAGAGGGGTTAGGAGATACAGATTATAGAGTGAGAGACTTGTAAAGATTAGAGATAATGGATATAAAGTATCTAGCCTTTAACTGGTACCTGAAGATGGTCACTAGATTGCAGCTATTATCATTATTCAAGTTTCTGAATGGTTTCAAAAAGTTCTATCTCTTATGACATAGAGATTCAAATATTTCCAAAAATGTAAAAAAAGAGTAGATAGCTGTGAATTATTTTCTGAAAATAAAAAAAGAAACAAAAAAATTGCCAACTCTGACTTTAGTGGTTCATAAAGGGAAATGCCATTTTAGTATTGAGACTTACCTTCTGCGACTCTCTTTACTTATTCCCCAAGCCTAGAAAATTTGCTTGGTGCTTCAATAATGTATTTAACCAGCATTAGTAAGTCAGTCTGGTCTCAAAACACACACACACACACACACACACAAACTATACAGTAAATTCTTAACTCTCTTGTAACCAGAAAATTATATAGGACCTTACATGAACCAATTTCTACATGGAATTGAATTCAGTAATAGCTTTGACCTCTAAAGTCCTTAAGAATTAATATGGGCCTGTATTCTCAGTTTCTTTGTATGTTTTTACAAAGGAATCAATTCAAGGATTTGGAAGAATCAAACAAATAAAAATGAAATTCTCTCTAGACATCATTTCCTACTCTCCATCTTTCTTATTCTTTCTTCCATTTTCCCATTTCTCTCAGTGCCATGCCATATTTATTTCTTCATCTTTATCTTTACCCTTGGGCCACCCCAGCATGCCCCTTGACCAGCAGTGACCACCAGAATTTCTTTCACTACATGAAGCCCATTTTGAACTGATGCAGGATGACTAGAAATTCCCAAGGCTCCATGTTCCTGATCTTCTATCATTCCCTTTAAAGGGCAGAACACAGGGCCCCCCATAAAGTGAAATTCTTCTGTATAATTCACCAGTTCTTATGTTGAATACAATCTTTACTTTGTTCTACCACAAAAACTAATCTACCATGTTAATTAAATAACCCACATACACCAGCAGCCATACAGACAGAACCACAGTTTCCAATATTCAGGACCATTCAACCCTGTGTAGCCTCTTGGAGAAAGCTACACATATCGTTATAAGACACTTTGCTACATAAAAGTATACCACTAAATATAAATGTACAAAAGGTATTCCAACCATTGCCACTTGATATGAATTCAAGAATGCTAGGAAATATTATGTCCAGAATACCTGCAATTAGGACAGTAATTATCCTTGCAACAGTCACCAGATGTTTCATCCTCAGAATTACCAAAGTTCTTATTGCCACATGCAATTAGCCACGTAGGGACATGGGTGTACTCCCTTATGTGTTTCCTTTCTCTGGGGTCACTCGTACACTAAGGTGACCTAATACAAAGTATAATTTTGTCACAAAACATCACATAGAACATGACCTACATATCATATTCAAATGCAGTCACATATATTGAGAATCTACTCATATCCAATCCTTGCAATAGCTATGTGAATTGCCTGCATTTTTTTTTTTTACATTTTGTAAGTAAACTAAGGCTCTGACAGTTGAAGAAACTTGTCCCAAATGAGACATACAGTAAATGTACCTGAAACCTTATACCTCGTCTCTCTGACTTTAAATATTGTACTCTTTTGACTGACCAACCTGGAAATTAAAGCAGGAGGATTAGACCATCTACAAATAGGAAAATTGTGTAGTGTCAAGAGAACCTTGCCATTGTGGTCAAGGTCATGGACCTGGGTTGGGCCAATTAGCTTTTCTCTTTCCCAGTGGTTTAAACTTCAAATCCTGCCAGAGTTTAAGCAGATTAGTCACAGTGGCAACTGAGTAAGAATTTGTGGATGGCTGACAAAATTAATAATTTCTCATGTGTATATGCCTTTTTTTCATTTTAAATTTTCCTTTCATGTTTGTTATCTACATTGAACCTCCAAAATAGGATGAGATAGATTTTACCATCCTTGTACAGATAAGGAAACTGAAGCTCAGAAGAAGGAGAGTGTACTGTGACCACCCAGGGCCACATAACTGATAAGTGAAGGAGACCAGAACAAGAACCCAGGATCTCTGACTGCAAGCTCAGCATTCTTCCCTGTGTCAGGGCAGGATTGCCATGGATAAGCACAGACTCTGCCTAGTGCTCAAAACATTGTTTCAAAGCCCACAGCTTTGAAAGACATTCTAGGAGAAGAAGACTATGCATTTATATCTTCCCAATTGATTCCATGTTGCTCTCTATGTCCCTGGAGCTCACCTGACTTCCAATGCATTCCCTCCCACCAAAGAGATGCCAAATAAATGATGTCTTTTAAATGCCTCAGTTCTCAAGTAAGATGTAAGGGCTGGAGCCCCACTCACACACCACGTGTCACGTGTGGACTCATTCACTTACCAGTTATGTGGCCCGGGGTGGTCACCGTACACTCTTTTCCTTCTGAGCCTCAATTTCCTTATCATCATCCATGCTCCTTCCCCTCTTCCTAACTCTACGTTGACTTCCACAGTAAAACATATTTAGTAGAATTAATTCTGAATGCTGACTCTATGAAAATATCATTAAAATGACCATTTGACAAGACAAAGCTGAGTATATCCTTATCAAAATAAGGGGGAATACTACCAAGATAAAGTCTTAGTAGCATCACAGGACAAAGCTGAGATATTTATAAGATTTTGGAGTCTGGTCTAAGATGAACTTTCAATGGGAGAGGCTTAATTAGGATTGGATAGGTATCACAACATAACAGTTTAAGATTGGT